TGGTTAAATGGTCTGCGACTAACGATCCGACTTGCCCGTTGTGTAAAGCGAAGCAGACTCTAGAACACGTCCTGTCCGCGTGCAGGAAAGCCCTAGGTCAAGGCCGATATACCTGGCGACACAACAAGGTGCTAAAAGAGTTAGCAGCCGTTGTTGACCAGGCTAGAATGAGGGCTAACGCCAGAGCTAGTTCTACCATCGTACCCATTCTTTTCCTCAAGGCTGGACAGGTTCCGAAAGGTAAGGTCAACCAAAACGCATTCGCTCCATCTGTGCTAGACTCTGCGAGGGACTGGTTACTGGCGGTTGATCTGCCGGGCCATGAAAGGTACCCCGAGTTGATCCGGAAGACCGGCCTGCGACCTGACATAGTTCTCCACTCTGCGCAAAAACGGCAGCTCATCCTGATTGAGTTGACCGTTGCGTATGGAAGAGAATCATACATATAAGCTCGAGAAATACAGTGATTTAGCAGCCGGTCTGAGGAAAAACGAGGCGTACACAGTACGGGTCTTTGCCGTCAAAGTGGGAGCGAGAGGCCTCGTTTCCAATTCGCTCTACAATGTGGTTAAAGAACTAGGATTGCGCGGTAATGAACGGAAACGAACACTTAAAAAACTGGGCGAGGCAGCCGAAAGGGCCTCGAGTTGGCTTTGGACGCAACGCAACAACGTAGGGGACGGACCTCGGTGAGCTGGTCCGGGTTAGTTAGTTAGTTGGGTTATCCTCATTGCACTCCGGACATGTCCATAGGTGCTCAGATCCTCCCCTCAGTATGAACCCCAACGTCCGATGGCTAATAGTACCAGTTCTATGTTGATTAACAAGTCTTCTGGTGTAGCTGGTGTGCGTCTCGTTTTTTGCTGTGCCGATCTTAATTCCCAAGTCTGCCATTCTGGCGAGTGATATGGATTCACTGCCACCAAAGTCCTCTATGCTTCCCATTTCTCTGAGGGCATTGATAATATCAGCATGATCCATAGGCTGACCGTCGGTAGTGATAGCGGATCCAGCCAACCTGTCAGCTCTTTTATTTCCATCGACGCCTGCGTGTCCCGGAACAAAAATAAAGGTGACTCCACGAACAGTGGACTTCTGTAATGATTCAAGCCATTGTCTTCGCACTGAACCTGCCTGAACCCTCCGGATCATACTCATTGAATCACTGAGTATACACACGCGGGTGTATTTTTGTGTTTCAAGCCAGGCAAGCGCTTGTGTCACTGCCATCACCTCCATCGTCATGCTGCTGGTTGTCATGGAGAAGGCGCCGTTGGCTTCTTTGACTGTTCTGCCCGCTGAGCGTGCTGTAAATGCCCATGCGCTTCTTCTTTGGCGTATAACGGATCCGTCTGTATAGATTATTGCATCTGCTTCGTCTGAATTTTCACCGATGAGAGCGTTGACCTCTGCATTAACAGCAACAGGATTCTCTTCTCTACATCGCCTGTTGAGTGTGACAATACAGGAAAATGTACAAATAAACGCCTGAGGCACAGGTATCCATTCTGCACCAGGTCCGGGTGTCTAGTGGAAAAGGGTTTCTCACCCCTTGAAAGTCCATCGTGTCCGAATTGTCTGCCAGTGATCCTCTGCCACCTGCTAATAAAGTCCAACATGTGTCCGGTAAACCAATCGTAAGCTTGTCGCTCGGTCGTCCAGGCATGCTGACTGCTTTAATTAGGCTGCCGCGACGACTTCTTATCTCTCAACAACACAACACACTTCGCTTACAGCCTTCGCCCGAGCAAGACGTTGAACGCGCAAGCCCGCCTCGCCTGAACACGTTGCCCGCTAACTATCCATTCGTTGCCTGATTATCGATAGCCAGCTACTGGACAGAATCGCTTGATATTCGGCTGAGTCTGTCTCGACTGAGCTATCGGAATCGGCTGCGGGTGGGTCATTAGCAGCCCGTGTACGCACCTAGCCAACGACAACCACCAGCAACACAGATCTACAAGAATCAACAGAGGAAGGAACAACGCCCTAGGTAATTATAATTTACATTATAAACTTTCTAAACCGAGACCTAGGGCGTGCGTTTTAACCTCTAAATAAATTCGAGAAACTTTTTATAATCGTCGTAGAAAATGGACACTGCGCCCATTACGATTGAATCACCAGGATCACCAGCACAGGGGACCGCTCCTCCGGGAGCCGACCCTTCAGGGGTGCCTGATGCCGCCTCAGTAGCGACGCAAGGACCCCCTCGCCAACGCAAGCAGCGGCAGCCTGAGACCAGCACACCAGACATCATGCAGTGCTCGCGCTGCAATAAGGCGTGGCATACAGCTTCGTCCTGCCGCAGCAGCCTCTCGTGCAGATACTGTTCTGGTACGCACGAATTCAAGGAGTGCCCGCTGGCTAAAATTGACACTAATTTTAAAAGACCGAACAGCAACCGCAAGTGCTCCAACTGTTCCGGTGGGCACGGCGCGAGGTACATGGGCTGCCCGTATCTCCAGCAGTGCAAAAGGTCACTTAGAACCGCCCACGAAGCAGCCAGACAGAGATACGTGGCACCCAGGTCCTCAGCAGCACCAAAGCAACCGAGTGGGAAGCCAGCACAACGGGCAACAGAAAGACTAACCGACAAGACGATCACAGCCGCAATGGACCCTGAAAAAATCTCTGAAATTTTAGCAGAAATCAGAGCTCTCCGCAAAGAAAAGTCCGACACCGACGCTGACAGAACACAGATGCTAGACCTGATTTCGCAGATGCGTGACGAAATCAAAGCACTGAAAGACGACAGACAAGAACAAGTATCGCAGCAAACAAAGTGGCTAGCAGAGGCTGCACGAATGCAAGAAAACCTGACAGAAATGACACAAAAATTACAAGCAGAGAAAACTGCAGACGAGACCCGCCGACAGGAAGAAAGGGAGGAGAGACGAAACGAAACCGAAGCACTTAGGGAAGGCCGCGAGAGCACCTATAAAGAAGTCACCCTTATGATCCGGGCAAAAGCAGAAGCCGAAGCTGCAGTGCTGGCGGCAAGAACAGAGCGCGCCCTGCTAGAGAAAGCAAGAGAGTCCTCCAGCAAAACTGTAAAACAACCAAATACCGACAAAAGCACACTTAACGAAGCGGTAGTGATGCAGAACCAGGCACAGATGACTGATATCACGACAATCGAAGTACGAAGCGAGACACCTACCAGACAGCCAGCCACCCCACGCGTAAACCAGAATGCGACAGCCGTTGTAACTTGTGAGGCTGACCTCCAAGCGATGCTAGAAGATATCAACGAGCAGGTGGCTCCGCACAGGCTGGAGTTTGTCGGCCCATTCGACAAATACGTTATCAACTACGCAGAAGAAGACGGAACACCTGAACGACTCTTAAGGTACAAGAAAGTTGACCGGCTCTGCAAAGAGATTAACGCAGCAGTGAGACAGCTCCGGGAGTCAAAGAGAAAGCAGGGCAAAAATGGAACACCGAATAGAAGTGGCAACCGCCAAATCTAAAGAGCCACAGAAAGACCCCACCAAACAAGCCGCCATATTTAAGGACAGCCTTAAGCAAACAACCACCAACCGGACAGCGGGTCGACGTACCGGAGCCACACCCATCCGCTCCGCCCCACTGGCAAATAACCACGTAATCACCATTTAACTAACCAAAATCTTAATCTAGTTTATTTTCAGAAAAAAGAAGACAACGGAAAATACCACAGGCCACCCGACGCCCCGAAGCAGACAGCCGAGGGCATTGCACCAAAGGGGACCAGCACTTGGGAATTCCAGTCACCGTCATGCCACGTGTATGTTAACAATTGCCTTTCACTTTTTTTTCAGAACAAGCGACCTCAGCCGACCGGGATGGATCCTGCCTCTATCTGTCACTCTCATTCTCCCGACCTCACTATCACATCTACTGGCACATTCGGGCAAACTGACCTATCATTTGCAGTCTATCTCACCTCCACCACTTCTCCACACTCCGTGGGAAAAAAAAAAAAAAAGGAAAAAAAAAAAAAAAGATTTTTATTTTTTTTTTGGGCCGATCACAACAACAGATTGTGACGGCCCTGTTTGTCCTGAAAAGGAACATTGTTCGTATCGACGGCGCAACGGATATTTGTTTGGCTTTTTCCGGCGGGCTTTTTAGATCGGCAACCAAGCAGCAAGCAACAGGGCAAGCCAGCACAGCGACCAGCACGAGGCAAACCAAGCACCGGCAACAGTCAGCTAGTACCCTTCAATATCATCGCAAAGAGATCTGGAACACACCAGAACCCAAAACCGCAGCACAGCAAGGAAGCAAACAACCATAATATCAGGTGTGTCTACACACCACAAATAAAAGGAAACCATATAAGACAGCAAAGGACCCTTCTTCGATATAGCAGGCCCTCGGGCGGCTGAAAGAGGATCAAGTTTGGAATTTTTCTTGGACAACTGGCAATGGCACTTCTTATCTCACAGTACCTTCTTCAAACCACCAAGTCGGCTTGTCCCTATCCGAAAGAAAAACACCATCCGGTAATCTCGTGCAGCAGGGTACCAGCCCTGAGCTTCATGAACTCAGATGGGCCCACCTCTGAAAGCGTCTAGGAATCGTGGGCCGAAACGCTCGTTGACGAGGATAATTTCTACTGACGACTGGTAGATCCCTGCTGTACTTGCTCCCTGTGAATTTATTCCCATTTCCTGTAGTTCTTTCTAACTTGTTGCTTTCAAGACTGAGTAATCCGCATAAAGCAAATTGTTTATATTGTATTTTTATGATAAATAATAAACTTGAAGGTCTGAATCAAGGCGAAAGAGGAGACAGCAGATGGTCACGTGACTTTGTTGTTATAGTTACAAGAAATAGCGAAGTATGGTTTCAATATGGCGGCAAACGTTAGTTTATAATCAGTCAATCGCACCTTAAAATCAAGAAAGGATTTCTGAAAAAAGATAACTGTGAAGTCGTATATTATGAAAAAATATAAATGGCTACCAAAACAGAAAGCATTCATCTGATTAAATCTCAGGTCTGGGCTAATAATGAAGAATTTTACAGCAACCATAGACGTAAATCAAAAAAATTCAAATTTTGGCTGTCCTGACGATGAATTCGATGAAAATGGTGTTGAGAAAGAATCACCAGATAATGAAAATGATGACCAGTTATCAAGTTCTAGCGCCAGTGAAATTGCCAAGCTAGCTGACGTTACAATTTCAGAAGATGCAATAGATGATTTCGATAATGGTGCCTGTGCTAAAAATATAAAAGATGAAGCGATTACGAATCTGATCGAGAAAGCAATATTGTTGAAATCTACATCCATAGACTTGAGCAAAAAAAAATTGACAAGGTTTCCTGAGGCACTTTCGAAACTACCACAGCTAGAGGTAAATTATATTGTATAGAACATATTTTTCAACAGATATTATATTTTATATGTTGAATGAATGTGGTGTTTTCTGACACAGGCTAGAGTGAAAGTTAAGGCTGTTATGATGTTTATAAGAACTTAATCTGTACCTCAGTTCAGGCGCTAGCTGGCTCTGTGCTGGTTTTACTAATCCTAATGCAATACTCCTGCCACATGTCCCCATCCTGTGCCATGGATAACAGCTCAAAGGAGCATAAACTGAGCTGGCAGCAGATCTTGGAGTTGATGGCTCCCAGAGAAGTAGTATCTGATTTCCTGTGGGTGAAAACATCTATCAGAATTAATTTGGAACAAGAGTAAAGCCCACTAGTAAAATATACTACCAAATGGATAGTTCCGGTCATAGAAAGATACCTGGTAAAATGCAGCTACTTTTGCTTTTGATGTTTATGAGGGCCTCCAGAACCGACAGGAGACGGTTGTGGCAGCACTTGATCTTGAGGATGCCTATAAAAGAGTCAGGTAAGGATATTTTGATATCTGCACTCATGGAGAAGGGGATTTGTCCCTGGCTTGTGAACTGGACAGCTGCTGTCCTGCATTCGCGCATGGTTGCCCTTCGGCTGGGTACATGGGCCTCAGAACCATGTAATATTGCCCCGGGACTACCCCATGGTTCTGCAATTTCTTCAGTGCTCTTTAATGTGTATACAAGCAAGACTGCAGAACTTGAAGCACTAGGTGTTGGAAGGATATTAACATTTGCGAATGATTTTCTTGCATATAGGCAGGGTAGTGATAGGCAACGGATAGCCCAAGAGCTACAGACAACTGTAGACAAAGTGACTGACTGGTGTGCAAAAACTGGTGCTGTCATCAATTCAGAAAAGGCGGCTGTTTTTGTGGTGCTCTCTGGACAATAGAATTGTAAAAGCTAATGTTCCAAGCCTCACAATTAATGTCAATAACATCAAAAGAGAAAGCAAACTGAGGTATCTGGGTATAATTTTTGATAGAAACCTGTCCTTCAGGGATCTTGTAGAGGCAGTTGCGGTGAAATTGCCCAAAAGGACTAAATGCTCTCAAGATTTAAGGCAGCAATGGACATGGAATGAAGAATGCTGTGTCACAATGTTCCAGCATATGATCCTGTCGGATAAATTTAAACGAGGACAGAAATGGGTCAGAGTGTCCAAGTAAGTTTCAGACTTGTGTAGGGTTCTTATCACTTTGAGTCGCGAGTGCAGGGACAGGCCAGCTGGTGCTGCAAAAACAGAAGCTCAACAAAAGATTCATGATAATTCCCTCTCAGGTGATGTGATTGTCTATACAGATGGCACTGTGTTGAGGGGTAATAGCAAACGCGAATGGATGTTGCTTGTTGCAACAAAGTCTGGCTTATGATATCACAACATCTAGTTTGAGAATGGAAATGGAGGCAGTCACTGCTGCCTTACGCTGGCTTGAGGATAAGCTGTACACACATGCCGTGATTGTAACTGACCCACAGAGCATGTTGAGAAAGCCCAAGTCGGGCATGCTCTGTGCAAAGTGGCGAGCATCACTTCAGAGGTCCCGGGTAGTTTGCAACCTTTAGATATTTTCTCCAGGTTATGCTGGTTTTGGAAAATGAGCAGGCAGATAGACTGGCTGGTTCTGCACCGCTTGTTGGTGAACTGATATGACAGGCTGGACGTTGTAAGGGCTCTTTAGGATCGATTTAACAGTGGGGAGGCACAGATAGATCATTATTGTCTGAGGAGAATTGCACTGCAGATGGTATCTCATGGTACCCTGTCTGTGTACACCCTCATCATCACTGCATTGTTACACAATGACATCTGCCACTATCAGTCAGCTGATTATGCTCAAATGTGGTAAAATACATGCCCTATGGCACAACAGCAAAGTCTTCAATGTCCAACCGTCCAAAAACTACTGTTTGGCAGAAAGGTTCATAAGTCCGTTACTATTGGTCTCACTCACCAGAGTGTCGGGGCCGAATAGGGGAAGCCATGCCTAATACATAGCGGCATCCGTGGCTTAGGCGTTGCGAGTCTGATTTGTAATACAACGTACCACGATCAAAACCCACTGCTGGCTGCGTGGATTTTAATCAAGGTATGGGGCGTCACAGGTCAACCCAGCCTAAAATGGGTACCAGGATGGCTGTCCTGTGGAAGTAAAAGACAGCCAGCGTAATGCTGACCACATTACCCATCCAATGCCGATTGGTCTGTAAAAAATATGGGACGCTCTTCCCATATACCCTATGCGCCTAAGGCGTAAAAAGGGATCTTTACTTACTTACTATGCCTAATTCATGCTTTTTCCATGCTGTCTTGCTAAATGTCCTGATGAAACAATGTTAATGGTGTCTAACATGCTGAAGAAGAATATACTTGTTTGTGTGGTCATCAAAGTCCCGGGCCTACGGGCTGATCCCCAGAGTGCGAAGCCTGTGACAAGCTGAAAATAGTATGTGGGGTTTATCAGTCATTTCCAGGATGTGGCGATTTCTAGGGTGAGCCGGACCAGAGCATCATGTATCAGCTCTGCATTTACGTAAGCCTTCCTGAGTTCCCTTGAGAGCTGACTGGTCTGCACATAGCTGCCCTGGACAGGCTGTCCAGGGGCAACACCTATAGATAAGGGAACAGAGAGAGCACTACAGAAATAAGGCTACATTATGTCCCATGAAACTATCCAGGAAGCTAACTTGGTCAACATAAGCTTGACAAAGTCGGATGTGTCAGCCAAAATGTGCAAATATTGCAGCTTTGCTGTAAACAGACACAATGTAATTATATCACTCAATTGAATGAAAAGAAGAAGAAGAAATTATTAACAAATTTATTAGTGTCTTATGTTTAATTGTTAATTTTTTAGATTTTTGTTCTAGAATTCCAACAGTCGTGACCCATTTTTTTTTTTTTAGTGTTTCCGGGGTGAGAGGGTTAAAGTAACTATTTCTTACAACAGAGGAATTAAAGAACCACCTGCCTGGTGCTGAAAGAGTTAATGTAACAGAGCAGTACATGCAGTGCTGTACCATTAGTGTTAACACTTGTACATTCTTGTACTTTCAGTATATGTACCTTGAAGGGAATGAGATAGCCTCCCTGCCAAATGAATTTTTCAAAATGTTCCCAAATCTGAGATGGCTTGATCTGCGTAATAATCTTTTGACAAGGATACCATCTACTTATCTTGCTACCCATTCCTGCCTTCGTAATCTTTTGCTGGAAGGAAACAACATCTGCAATCTGCCATTGGAATTAGGTAAGTTTTACAAATTGTTATTTTAAGTGTCTGAATGATGTTCATTTTCAGTATTGGAAAAGATTGACAGTGTGTATTTAAAAAAAAAAAAATAATATTCCTAATTTTTACTTTTTTCATTACTAGACTTCTTCTGATACATGTTTCTGTTAGAGTCTGTGCATACATATGTGCATACATCCATGTATGTGTCCATTTATGCATCTATGTATACACATGCAGAAAAATTAATTTGGCAGTTTATCTCACACAATGTTGAAAATTACAATGGGAAATATTTAGTCCAAATATGAGAACATGAATAATCAGAAAGGTAGAAGGATAACTCCTTGAACACCAGAAGGTTTTACCGGAGATGCCAATTTGTATAAGGAATCACTAGGGAAATTCACCAGGGTATTGATTTCAAAGACGATAAATACTGGGAAAGCCAAATTTCTTAGAATGCTGTGACCAAATATGGAATGGACTAGAACATATTACATGTTGAGTTAATTTACAGAATAGCTAATCATACATCGCACATTGTTTGGGAGTGAAAGAGTTAATTGTGTGTAAACTTTTCAGTAGCTGGAAAGGACAGATGTTCATCTGTTTTTCAGCTACACATCCTATCTTGTATTACAGTCCATCAAGATGATGATGACCACTCTTTTTCATCAAGTATGCGTACAAAGATGACTGATGAGGCCCGAAAAGTTCTTGTACAGTGAGGACAGGGAATGAGTTTTGTGCCAGGGAGGGGCTCTCCTGCAGTCGTCTTTCTGTCCATCCTTTTCTTAATCAGTCTTGTTGTTCTGTTTGCTTCACATGTAGCCGCGCCCTTGTGTAGAGTTGCATGCCATGCATTTCGGTCTTGAGAGCCAGCCTCCCAATTGGTGTCATTCATCCCCAATGATTTGAGTGAAGACTTGAAGGTGTCCTTAAAGCATTTCTCTTGCCCGCCTTGGAAAAGTTTCCCATTTTGCAGCTCACCATAGAAGAGTTTTTTGGGCGGGGAGCCTGTGATCTGGCATGCGTGCCACATGACCAGCCCAACGAATTTGGTACTGCATCAGTACTTTTTTAACTTTACTAGTACAGTGGAACACGATAAAGAAAATGAAACTGATCATGAATGTGTCAGTAAGAAATGTAGATCACTTTAAAGCAGTGTTTCTCAAAGTGTGCACTGGAAAAGTTCAGGATGGGGTGGGAGCAGCCTCGGTCAAATTTGGGAGAAAAAGGTTAAAGGGGGGATGGGGGGGGGGGGGGGGGGTTGCTGTAACGGCTCAGGGGGGATGGTAGGAGATTTGAGTACAGGACACAGACTAAAAAAAAAAATTGCAGTGGTTAAGAAAAAGGAAGGATTAGAAGAAGAAACGATAGGAACACTTTGATGAACTATATCTCTGTTTCAATAGTCAGGTTAATCCTTCTCATTAATTAACATTACTTCAAATGTCAATGTTTCTTTTTAATATTACTTTTCCCATACTGTATAAAGCGTCCTGAAAAATTGATAACGAACAACAAATTAGATGGAAAAGTAGGGAGAGGAGGGGAGGGGGAGGGGTTGAGAAGAGATACATTTTTTGATTTCTTGGGCATGGGATGGGACAAGAGCTCCGACCTTAATCGTGACACTACTAATTGTGCAAGATGGCAGATCATTACTGTCTTGCTTATCAGCACATGTTGGTTTAGGATTCTTCGAGAGAAAATGGGGGGGGGGGGGCAGCACAGAGCAATTATTTTTTTTTTAAATTGAGAAAGGGGGCTGGACCAAGCAGGTTTGGGAACCAGTGATTTAGAACATTGCTTTATCGGTACACCACCATCAGTTGATAAGTGATATTGAGTTATAACCCCAGAAGGTCACATCAGATCTTATAGATATGGAAACCCATAGAATATTTAGTCTCATAATACTGGACACTACGGAATGATGCTGGTCATCATCATCATGTAGCAGGTCCTTTGCAGAACGTCGCTGTCATCACAGTCTGCCTGAAAGAAACTCGGTCTCTCGCCAGCTCTCCCGCCTCATGTACTTTCATACTCAAGGTGACACTTATATCCTGTGCCCATCTTGGTCGACCCCTGCCCCTCCTTCTTGGTACCATGCCTTCTGCTATTATTTTTTCCAATCTGTCATGGCGCTTGATATGACCAAAATATTTTAGCTTCCGAGACAGGATGCTGTTTATTAATCAATCTTCCTTGATGTTCAGATCTTTCAAGATGTCAGTATTTCTCATCTTCTTTGTCCAAGATATTCTGAATATTTCTATAGCATTTCAGCTCAAAAGCCCCTATTCTCTTTCTTAAGGACTGGGAGATAGTCCACGACTCACATCCGTATGTTGCTACAGGGAAGATGCATGCTCTCAGAATTCTAATTTTGATCTCCTTGCTGGTGCTTAACCATAGACCTTTAAGGTTGTTTAAGTCATCACAACTACCCTTACCTGCTCTGCCATCGTTCTCTTCCCCAGTTTGTGTTTCTGATCTGCCTGGCCTGGGGGCCTCACAGTCAGATCTTTGAGTTTCATTTTGGGCTTCCATGATGAGTTTCTTGGGATAGTAATGTGGTAGTTTCTGGTGACAGTCTGTAATAAATACAACAGCTATTAGAGCATGGAAGACTGCCAGCAGGACTATAAAAGTACTTGCAAAAAATCTTATACAGAAATCCTTGTATCAAGAGAGCGGAAATGTAAAGCATAGATAGATACGCCTAAATATGTGAAAACAGGTAGTACCTACAGCCAGTGAGCAGTAAGTATTGTTAGCATCCATATTGTTCCATGTCTGCTGAAGGAGCCTGATCTTTTGTCCCATGTGGAATAAATAATACAGCTTCTGTTAACAAGTAAGCAGTGAGAATAGGTATGATGTTACAGACACGAATCATCATATAGTAACATTATAGTCTCATTTAAAGACAAAGTGTTTGTGTGGATTTCTGTGGTGAAGTGGTCAAGCCATTTGCCGTGCACTTTGATGGTCTTGGGTTTGTTTCATGGCTGCATTGTTCAGCTCACGATTGCAATGTTTACGGACACTCCTGAGGAACATCACTAGAGCTATGAAGTTCATGCTTCATGCAATGCTTTTGGCATGACAGCTATTGATTCCACGAAGACAGACCAAGCCATAGATTATAAAACCCAGTGCAGGGAAGTTGATCCTTTATATGTTAATTTTTGAAGACTGTTTTATAATTGTTTAGATCTTGATAACTGTTGCAGTGTACAATGAATTGATTGGTTTAGCATGAGTTAATTGTGTTTGGTCAGGTTTAGTGAAGAGTTTGCATGGACTGAACATAGCTGGCAACCCTCTAGACTTCCCTCCACATGAGATTATCGAGCATGGAACCCAGTACACTCTTGCCTATTTAAGGGACTTGTATGAGGTCAAGCGTTCACAGCCCGGAGGCCTGGGTAAATGATTATTGTAAATATGTGTACATATCCATAGGGAAAATGAATATGTGTCTACGTGTTTATATCTGATGGAGTTTGAATATAAATGTTTGTATGCATGTTTGTTATACCAACATGTGAGAATAAAGTGGAAAGAAAGAGGGTGGGCAGGAGTATAACCCAGAAATTACCAGTTACTTACTTGCTTACATTGTCCCTCCTATTCTACCTTGGTGTGTAGAGGTTTGCCATATTAGTGGTTTGCTTTCTGGCTTTGTTCCACTCCAGTCCTTTTTCAGTCAGGGAATGTCGGATGTTGTCTTCCCAGTGGACCCTGGGTCGCCCTGGAGGTGAACTGCCAGTTACTGCCTGTATTTTCCACTTTTGTAGTGTAGGCAGAAGGATCTTTGAGCCTGAGGATTTATGGCTGCATGGCTAATGCTGTCGCCATTGCAGGCTAGGATTTTATTTCTACCCTGGATAGAAAAAAATCAGTGACCTTCCCGGGGATTTGAACCCAGCTCTCATGCATAGAGCCCAGCGTTCTAACCATTCAGCCAAGCACTCTTCAGAGTATAATCAGATTAATAAATCCAGATATTTATGGGGCAGTTTTAACATTAGACAGAAGAGACAAGGACTGAGAGCAGTATAGACAGAATATATCAGTTCATGTGCTGTTTCCCCCTTGTGGGTTCTGGGGTGGTAGTGGATATATAGACTCAGTGTCTCTTGACAAGCATGTCATAATAGAAACTTTCCTGTGTGGGTTCCAGGGTCCCATTGTGGGGGGAAATGAGAATAGACCCACTGCCTCCCCAATAAGCATGTCATTAAAGTCGACTAACTGGGGGCTTCCTTTCAAGTCGGAGTGCATCTGCCTGAGAGTCTGCATACAAATAAGTCAGATCTGTAAAACAGATGTGCACGCAACACTTAGGTTCTTGCGCCGGAGTTTGCAGCCAGTCAATGCAAAGAAGAAGAAAAAGATAATAGAAAATGATTGAGGGTTTTCTTAAATTTAATACATTGGTCAGAAAGATGCAGATATCGCAGCCTAGCTGTAAATATGAATGCCCTTTTCTGCTTGGTTAAATTCAACTAGCTTTTGTCTGAAATGACAGAACATGCAAGACAGCATGGAGAGAAGAAATGTGTAGTGCCTCTTACCAGCCAGTTGCCTCATAACAGTTGTATATCTGCCCCATACAGCTTGCTTGTAGTCTCCTTGAATCATTACGACATGGTTTCTCAGCAGCTGTATATCCACTGCCTTGCCTCATCCACTGTTCTTTCTCATCCATAACTAGTACATCCAATGTCTTACAAATCTCTCACCAATACGTTCACTAATTTACCTTGTTTCAGACCAGTACAGCCACTGCATTACCTCATTCAAGACTAGTACATTCACTGTCTTACCTGTCTCTAACCACTACATCCACTGTCTTACCTATCTCTAACCTGTACATCCACTGTCTTACCTATCTTTAACCTGTACATCCACTGTCTTACTTCTCTCTCACCACTACACCAACTGTCTTACCTATCTCTAACCTGTACATCCACTGTCTTACTTCTCTCTCACCACTACATCCACTGTCTTACCTATCTCTAACCTGTACATCCACTGTCTTACCTATCTCTAACCTGTACATCCACTGTCTTACATCTCTCTAACCTGTACATCCACTGTCTTACCTATCTCTAACCTGTACATCCCCTGTCTTACCTCTCTCTCACCACTACATCCACTGTATTTCCTATCTCTAACCTGTACATCCACTGTTTTACCTATCTCTAACCTGTAAATCACTGTCTTAACTCTTTTAGCACCTGTACATCCACTGTCTTGCTTCTCTCCTCACCACAGGACATCCTCAAGAGTTTGCTTTTCTACTAAACTGTACATCGGATCGTTTTCGCTTCTCTCTCACCATGTACATCCACTGTCTTACCTCGTACGCCGAACCTGTACATCCACTCAGTCTTACTTCGGGGCTCACCACTACATCCATGTCTTACCTATCTCTAACCACTACATCCACTGTCAATACCTATCTCTGGCTGTAAATGGCCTGTGCTGCAACTATCTGCTTTCTGGACCCGACCTCGTCTTCGTTGTCTCTCTCACCGTTACATTACCATGTCTTACCTATCTCTGACCTTTGACCACCACTGTCTTACCTTTCTGCCCTAACCTGTACGGTCCACTGTGAGTGTATCATCTCTTATCTCTCTCAATTTTAGTGCATTCTGGGCCTATTCTATCGCATCGAGGACACTCCACTTCCGGCCAGTCTTTAGAGCGGGCTGGACAGCGATGACATTTGGGTCTGAAGACTCGCGTAAGAGCATGGCGAGTCTTACCTTGCCAACTTTAAACTCTTCGGTTATTGATTTGAACGGAAGTACCAGCTTAGCCTGCTTACAATACAGAGCCACGTCGGTCAGACAAGGCAATGTTTATCTAATTATATCTTTCAGTGTTCATCTAATCTTTCAGTGTTTATCTCATATCTTTCGGTGTCTGTCTCATTATATCTTTCAGTGTCTGTCTCATTATATCTTTCAGTGTTTATTATATTATATCTTTCAGTGTTTATCTAATTCTTTCAGTGTTTATCTCATTATATCTTTCAGTATTTATCATATTATATCTTTCAGTGTTTATCTAATTCTTTCAGTGTTTATCTCATTATATCTTTCAGTATTTATCAAATTATATCTTTCAGTGTTTATCTAATTATATCTGTCTGTGTTTATCTCATTATATATTTCAGTGTACAGGTTGAATATTTTGGTGACTGCTGAGTTAGAACCGACATCATATTACTCGGGACATTACCATAAGCACTCCATTCCCATCTTCAGCAAATGACAGCCCACTGCCACTTTGTTTACTTTGTCAGTAGGAATAGTGTAATCTTATTATTTATGTTTGGTTTTGTATGCTCAGGTCAGATCATCAGGTGGGATGCCTTTATGAATTTGCATGTCAGTTTCATTTCCCTTGTGGTTCCCCATAGCTTGTTCTGCACACTTCACTCTTGAGGCTAGGTTTTTTCTTCTTCAAGCTCACCGGCCTTAAACTCCGGTGGAAAGTTCTGGTTGATCGTCCACTTCTAGACTGCAGTCCGGTTTCAGAACCTGAGTGTTGCATGTGCATCGGTTTGACAGATCTGACTCATTTGTGTGCAGACTGTTGGTTCCTTGCCTCTCAGGCAGATGCACTTTGACTTTGAAGGAAGCTCCCAATTAGTCGACTCATGCTTTTGGGTAGGCAGTGGGTTTATTCTTGTTTTCCCTATAATAGGGCCTTGGAAACCACACGGGAAGAGGCCAGGCTTCTCTTCATAGCTGAAAGTATAGTGGGCAGGCCTGCATGATGTGCTTATGTGTTTGCGGTCCCATCTGACAGGCACACTGGTATATTATCCTGAATTCTTGGCACTTATTTTGTTTGTTATTTTCTTTCCTCTTCTTGTTTTCAGAGCTAAAGCTAAGTGAGGAGGCTCCTGTCGGATATGAACACCAAAGTGAAGTCTCTGATGATTGGAACACAACTGCCAGTTTAATGGATTTAGCAAAGCAACGGGAAATCATGTTTCAGAATAAATCTCATTTAAATGAAAACCCAGATATTTCTCAAACACAAGACTGTGTAAGTGAAACCAAAGGAAACGAATACAAGTCATCTAAGATGAATAATGCAAAGAAATTTAAGAAAATGGAAACGGACATATTGGTTGGGTAAGTTGCATAATTTCTTACTTTAGTATCTACATATTTATTGTATTTGTCTGAATTTATTTACTAAGTAACATCTAAATTTATGCATACAGTGTTTTAATAAAATTCCTCTCATTTCATAAGACCTTACCGAGATATAAGGGACTCCATTCCCACTGTTTGTGTGATTAATATTTCTTCTTCTTTTTATTCGTCTTCATAAGCTATAAACTTCAGCAAAAAGTTCTGGTTGTTTGTCTGCTTGTGGACTTTAGTCTTGTTCCATAGTTTGCGTGTTTTGCTTGCACAACCATTTTACGATCTGGCTTGCTTATAAGCAGACTGTTGGTTCCTTTCCTCTCAGGCAGATGCACTCTGGCGGATAAATCCCTAATTATTTGACTTTTACGACATGCTTGTTGGGAGTGGGAGTTTATACTTTGTGGAATCCACATGGGGAGGATTATTATATAATTTGTAATTACATTATCTGTGTTTCCTCTTCTGTCTGCTACACCAAGGTTTTGTCAGCCTTGCGATTTCAAGAGTCACATCCTAGATGGCAAACTAACAGAGCAGATTCCAGGTATCCCGTTCAGCCTGCAGATAGGTTATAATTAAGGCACCCGTGATGGCTACTCCGATCTGATTTAGCAAGCAGTCTACCAGTTGAATATTCCCTTCACATCATTATGTCGTATTTTCCTTGTATATCTTTTTCTTCTTTTCCTCATCCTCCTTTTTCTTCATCGTCGGCTGCCGCAGCGGCGCGGTGTCTTCTACTTCTTCTTCTTCTCCTCCTCCTCATCCTTCTTCTTCTTGTTTTTCTTCTGCTTCTTCTTCTTCCTTTTCCTCTTCTTCCTCTTCTTCTTCTTCCTCTTCTTTTTCTTCTATTTCTTCTTTTTCTATTTCTTCTTGTTCTATTTCTTCTTCTTCTATTTCTTCTTCTTCTATTTCTTCTTCTTCTATTTCTTCTTCTTCTTCTTCTTCTTCTTCTTCTTCTTCTTCTTCTTCTTCTTCTTCTTCTTCTTCTTCTTCTTCTTCTTCTTCTTCTTCTTCTTCTTCTTCTTCTCCTTCTTCTTCTTCTTCTACTTCTCCTTCTTCTACTTCTCCTTCTTCTCCTCCTTTTTCTTCTTCTTCTTCCTCTTCTTCTTCTTCTTCTTCTTCTTCTTCTTCTTCTTCCTCTCCTTCTTCTTCTCCTCCTCCTTCTCCTCTTCCTCCTCCTCCTTCTTCGAGAATTTGACGCCTTGACGATAATTCCATCAATGTGTCAGCAGCATAGGAGCTCACAATAAAAATTCATCAAAGATTTACTAAAAGCACTACATGTCTTCCCTTAAAGTAAAATAGAGAAATGAATGGGCTAAAGTCTTCAACCAGATTCATCACAAAAACATGATTTAACATGACCGCGTGTCCAAAGTTATGATCGCAAGGGGTGTGTTCATGGTAGCTAGGCCTAAACATCGACGGATGGCGTAACATGTGATCATGGTAGTCAGTGGTGAAATGATGTCTTACATGGAACTTTAATAACATTAATTTATCACCATGGAAATATTGAACTTTTTGGTCTGATTCATAAACATAAAATATTAATTTAGTTACTGAGCAAGCAAACTTTAATTTTTCTTTTAAAGTGTCGCTTCCAAACACAGCAATTGTATTTTATCTATAAGTCATGCTATGTTCATTTAGCAATATACATATTTTGAAAATTAAGAACACAAAATACAGTTTTGTAATATTCTATCTCAGCACCATGGCTCTTCCAGGAACTGAGTGGGTTCAGGGATCTTCCAGCTGTTTGAAGATTAAACAAGCCAGCATAAGAAAACGTGCGACCCCTGAACTTTGTAGCGATATTGTCAGTTTTTTCAAGAAAGCTCTCAGGGATTAGTTAAACATCACATAAAGGATCATGTTGGTTATATAAACACTCAGAAAATTATATAATGACAGTGCATTTACCCTGAAAATTTTTTTAAACTATAAAGCAAGGTAGTTGTTAATGTTTTAAAATAGTTTATTCATGAATAAACTGTGTTTACTTTCAAAGCCTTGAAACAAAACAATAAACCAGAAATGCATAATTTCACTAATTTTTTTTTGTATGAAACTTTAAAAATGTGAGAAACTTTTTCTTAGAAAATAAAATTGACACAATATGTTAGCTGAGAAGTTTGTTGTATTTATTTTAAATTCTTTTAGTTTCATGACTTTCTTGCGAATTTCTTAAGATTACTGTTGTAATATTTGAGAAAATGTCATTAATTATTATTATTGTATGTTGTTTAGGGAGACAGTGCGAGCTAGTAGAACTCCTGGCCCACTACACATACACCTGAATGCTTCCGCCAAATCACGTCAGGGAATTTTAGTCTTCTTCTTTTTCTTTGCGTTCACCAACTGTACACTCTGGTGGAAAGTTTTGGTTGTTCGTTCACTTCTGGACTGCAGTCCTGTTCTAGAAACTGAGTGTTGTGTGTGCATCCGTTTGACAGATCTGATACATTTGAGTGTAGACTGTTGGTTCCTTGCCTCTCGGGCAGATGCACTCCGACTTCGAAGGAAGCTCCCAGTTAGTCGACTTTTATGACATGCTTTTGGGCAGGCATTGGGTCTATTCTTGTTTTCCCTATAATAGGGCCCCGGAACCCACACAGGGGAGGAATTTAAGTATCTTGAAAGAATGGTCGTGGAAGATGGTAGTATTGACAGTGAAAAATAAACCAGATGTCAGAAAGCAAGTGCGCTTATGTACCAATTGTCACCATTATTAAGACATCCAAGCATAACTATGAGTGCAAAGAGACTGATTATAAACAGCATATTCATTCCAACATTAAGCTACCAGTGCCAAATATGGACACAATCTAAAGGCCAGGAATGCATAATCACCACTTACAAAATGAGATGCCTGATAAAAGCTGCCAACCTAACCATCCAGGATCGAGTGAATAACAAAACTATCAGACAGATTGTGGGAATGACATTTTGTACTAGATTCATCAAGAAGCAGCAGATCAAGTAGTTTGGTCATCTCATTAGAGTGCAGAAAGATCAGATGCCATTACAGGCACTACATCTCAGAAGATCAGCTACAGGAGCAAGAGGACGGCTGTGAAAAATATGGATCAACAACATGTAAGACACTTTACACCTTCACAGCAGGACAATAGCCTTGGTTGTATCGATCACAAATTATTCTTCCCACGACGCTTAAAGGAAGAAGTGGTTTATGATGATGATGTTTACCGCCTGTGGGTTCTGGGGAGAAAGAGGGGTTGGGGGCTGAGAATTGACCCACTGCTCTTTAACAAGCAGGGCTTACTGAAATTAGATGTGTTGAGCTTAAATGCACAGATATCGCACCCTAGCTGTAAACCATAGCATAACATGCCAACCACAATTTAAGGGAAAATGCTGCAGAAGAAAACTTGGATATCTTTATGTATTTACTTCCCAATTTTTAGCATCATCTGACAGTCTGTCTTCTTCTTTTCTCTACTCCTGGAATGCTTCAGAGCATCAGGGCAAGAGTAGATCTCTGAAATGGGCCCTTCTGTTCTCTTCGTATGTTGTACTTTTCAGTGTCTCAAATATTTCTGTGGTTCATCTTCTGTGTGGTCAACCTCTGACTCTGTTATGGTTGCATCAGTATAACACTGCTCTTTGTGGTGCCCTTTCTAGTGCCAATCTTGTTACATGACCAAACTATTTGATCTATTGTCTACCAATAATGCTCATTATTGGTTCTGTGCCGACTCTTCTCCTGATATCATCTTTTCTAATTTGATCTTTCCTTATTACACCTAGCATAGTAAGTAAACATTTAATTTCTGTCATGACTATTTTCTGTTTTCTGAAGACAATATCCATTTTTGACATTGATAGCATAGCATTGGTAAGCATATTGTGTTGAACAGTATTGGACAGTTTAACATTATAAAATATTCCTTTGTATTATTATCCTTTTGTTATTTGTATTGTGTTTATTTATCAATATTATTGTTTCCATGTGCTTGCTTCATGCACATTTGATCTATAATGCTTATCTGAATCTAAATGCAGAAAAAAGAAAAAGGAGAAGATAATGTCTTGGAAGGTGAATCCATATCCTTCCCTTCCCACTTCAGATTATGTGAAATTTAGAATGAACGAGGACAGGCATCTGGCAAAAGTGAAAGAGCAGAAGAGAAAGATAGAAGAGATCATTCAGAAGCAGAAGTGAGTTTCTGTTTGAATTTGTTTATAATTTAACTGATGTTCAGTTCCCAAATAAGGCTTTAACTCGTTCAGTGCCTAGCAAGCTCTTACTGTACCCTCTTTATATTCCAAAGCCCCCTCTGATGTGCCTCCACCTTGAAGAGGTAGAGGGGATTGAGTGTTCCTGTTACCATGAGAGCCATGCCGACGGTAGCGCAGCTACTGGTAGGGTCTCCCTTGCCGGAAAGGTCGACGGAGAGGAACCAGACGAGAGACAAGCCCACATTTTATGATGTCACAAATTAAAATGTATCGATACTAATCTCGTGGAGCTCTGCCAGGCACAGATAGTGCCAGACCCTTGCTTCGAAGGGGTCCACTCAACACTACTGGTGGGCACCTACCCCTATGCTGTGGAGTCAAGGTACAGGGCATTAGGGTAGAAAATTGACCAAACATCGAGGACACTCAACATACTACAGTGGAACGCTGAAGGAGTCTTCAATTTTTATTTTTTTGAATGTCTTCAAAAAAAAAACGCCTTTATGAAGAGAAAATTGACATGGAAGTATCCATGAGACACACTTCAATGCCTGTTACAGATCTTCAATCAAAGAATATCAAGCTATACACCATGACCGTGTTTTTTTTTGCCATAAGGCCGAACAAATCACGAACGATGCATCTCCAGCAACGGTCAAATCATTATTTGTTTCGTTGCTGGCCCAGATTTGTTTTTAGTTGATTGACCATTTTTTACTGCTGAGCAGTGCTGTTAATAATATGTAAACTTTGAATTATTATATAATATCATTTCCACGAACTATTTGAGTCTTTGGTAGCGTTAGTTGTAAGTATTCTGCTTGTCATGCAAGTGACCCACGTTCGATTCCCCGCTGGGTAATATAATATTTTTTCCCCTTAACTGGGCGGCTGGCACATTGTGTTGTGGTTTATCGCTAGGTTGTGATATGTACGCCTTTTTTCGTTTTTTTAACGGCGACGTGATGCTCAATGATCATGTCACAGGTAGTCTTCGTTCGCCCTTGAGAGGGCTGTTGGCACGTTGTGTTGTGGTCTAGGTTGTGATATCTGACCCAAACTCTTTAGGCTTCGGTAGTATAGTTGTGAAAATTCCACCCTTCACGTGGGTGACTGGTGTTTGATTCCCTGCTGGGTGATAATTATTATTTTTCCTTTAAAAGGGTGGTTGCCATGCTGTGTTGTGGTTTACATCTAGGCTGCGATATCTGCACCTTTCGTCCAAAGACATCTGATTTCAGTAAAGTCCCATTTAGCCTCCCCGCGACGCTTTTTTACTGTGGGTTCCATCACTGGTTAGATAAAGGTTTTTTTCTATGTCGGGGCAAAATTAAACTAAACAGTCCATGGCGACAGCATGCGGCGCTAACTCCTCTGGCTACACCGATCTACACAGACTGTAGAGACAGTTATTGTTGTTGTTGTGATGGTGGTGGTGGTAGTGGTAGCAGTAGTACTGGTACTTGATGGGTGATGTGGTAGCTGTTACACTGGCCACATTTACTTCCCAGTACACATTAATGCTACCCATTTTAGTCTAGGTGGACATGGATGCCAAGCTCAGTTTATTTACAATATTTCGTAAGATGATGACTTTTCCATCCTTCGGAGAGGATGATATGATTAGTGTGGGGGGGGGGGGGGTGTGGGTGTTAATGCCAGACACTGCTAACTGAGAGAATTTAAAAATTATTTTAAAGTTCTCATTTCTTAACTATTTCTATTTTACTAATTTTGCCAGGTGATGATTTTTCAAACCTTCCGAGAGCGAGATATGATTGTGGGGATAGGGGGGGTTATGCCAGACACAGTTAGCTGAGAGCGCTTAGAACATTATTTTACAGTTCTCATTTCTTAACTATTTCTGTTTTAATAATTTTGCCAGGGATGATTTTTCAAACCTTCGGAGAGGGAGATAAGACTGGGTCGAGGGGAGAGGATGGGGGTGGGGAGGGAATATGACAGACACTGTTAGCTGAGAGCTTTTTTCTTTCTTTTCCATTTCATCATTCTGGGCCACATCAACGAGTGGCCGGGTACAGCTATTATAATAATATGCATATTATGACTATCAAGCAAAAATACAAAAGCATGGGTGGCAAAATGCACACACCCACTATTACACATGCAAACCCACTCACTCACTTACACACATCTGCACCCACATACACACATATCTATATACATAATACACACACACACATACATACATACATACATACATACATACATACATACATACATACATACATACATACATACATACATACATACATACATACATACATACATACATACATACATACATACATACATACATACATACATACATACATACATACATACATACATACATACATACATACATACATACATACATACATACATACATACATACATACATACATACATACATACATACATACATACATACATACATACATACATACATACATACATACATACATACATACATACATACATACATACATACATACATACATACATACATACATACATACATACATACATACATACATACATACATACATACATACATACATACATACATACATACATACATACATACATACATACATACATACATACATACAGACATACATACATACATACATACATACATACATACATACATACATACATACATACATACATACATACATACATACATACATACATACATACATACATACATACATACATACATACATACATACATACATACATACATACATACATACATACATACATACATACATACATACATACATACATACATACATACATACATACATACATACATACATACATACATACATACATACATACATACATACATACATACATACATACATACATACATACATACATACATACATACATACATACATACATACATACATACATACATACATACATACATACATACATACATACATACATACATACATACATACATACATACATACATACATACATACATACATACATACATACATACATACATACATACATACATACATACATACATACATACATACATACATACATACATACATACATACATACATACATACATACATACATACATACATACATACATACATACATACATACATACATACATACATACATACATACATACATACATACATACATACATACATACATACATACATACATACATACATACATACATACATACATACATACATACATACATACATACATACATACATACATACATACATACATACATACATACATACATACATACATACATACATACATACATACATACATACATACACTTATACTCTGTCACACACACATACACACTCTCACAAACACACACTCAAAGACAATCACACAGTTACAGTTACAAACCAAGACACATACACACACACATACATGCACATGAACGCACACATGCACACATAGCCACAGACACACACAGAAACACATGCAGACATTATGAAATAGACACACACACAGATACACATGAAGCTACAGGCAGATACATACGCAGCCACACACACAAGTAGACACACACGCAGCCACACACAAAGATACACATACAAACACACCCACAGACAACAGGCAGGCTTAAGCAAAAGAGGCTAACAGACATTAAGAGTCTTGTATTATGCATCGTTGCTCCACTAGGACCCTGCTAGTATGTGTGAAAATCTAACGCTTCTTATTCTGATGCTCCCCATGTGAGTTCTGAGACCCCATTTGGGAAGGGGGAGGGAGGTTAACATACCCACTGCCCCATAACAAGTGTATCATTAAAAGCAACTGACTGAAAATGCTGAAATATGGTGTGTTGGGCCAAAAAGCCTAGATATTGCAGCCTAGCTGTAAACCATATCACAGCGCCATTCAGCTAAATTTACTCAGGGGCAAAAATGTTGAAAATGAGGACTGTCATAAGCCAGAGACCCGAACCCCAGCACAAAAAGATCATTAGCGGAATACTGTTGGCAATGATCCATGGACCACTCACTTGCTAGGCCTCAGCGGGTCATATTCGGCCAGTGGGCCTCCAGTTGAATAGCCCTGCCACAACACAATTTGCCAACTCCTTTTTAAGGGTGATTACAGAAGAAAAGAAACAGAAAGAAGATATGCTTACATTAACATCAACCTTCGGCCTACACTCACCTTTGTGTTGTTCTGATGGACGGTCCCAGAAAAATAAATGCAAAATTTCAACATATCAGTTGGTTTACAATTGTCATGTTTGCACTTTGGACCATTCAGTCCATAAGTGCTTGGATCCACTCCTCAGCAAAATTCTTATTCTTCGTTGGCTTCCTGCATAATGCTATTGTCTGGCCACACCATTTTTAACAGGCTGTTTTTGCAGTCTTGTCATTGCTCGTGCATCCTTCACAGAAGCTTTACCCACAAATCTATCAGCTTACTCATTTTCTTGCACGCCTGCGTAGTCTGGCATGAATATTAAAATGATAATTGTCAGCCCCCAACCGCCTGAGAGACTCCAACCACTGTCTTTGGACCCAGCCCATCTCTATCTTCTTGAGCATACTCACTGAGTCCCTGATAAAGCATGCACAGGTAAAGATGTGCGTCTCCAGCCATGTTACAGCTTTGGGAAAATGAAACTGATATTTTTCACACAAAAGCATCAACCATGGGTCTAATCTCACATTTGAGATGTTCATGTGTATGGAACAGGTAATCATTTTATTTAATAATATTTCTGTAGCACAGAAACTGCACTGCAGAAAAATCTACAATTATCATTGATACCCAGGCTGTAATTTTGTTACATTCACAGAAATGAAGCTGTACTAGGGAAATGGCGAGAGGTTGCAAAGATGCTTCAAAAAAAGAAATATTCTCAGCGTCTGTTACCAGGAAAAGGTACTGTGATCTGACCTTTATTATTAGATGTTTAAGTTTTTTGTAGCCTCACTATGGAGGAGAGAGATACAAGCAAAAACTGAACATAAATGTGAAGATTGTTACAAAATTATAATTTATAAAATAAATATTGGTTTCACATTCAGCTATTATCTGCATACAGATAAGTCAAATCTGTAAAACAGATGTGCACCCAACACTCAGGTTCTGGAACAAGTCCAGACACACAACCAGAACTTTCCTCGGGAGTTTACAGCTAGTGAACACGAAGAAGAAGATAATCAGTGATTAATGGGCTTTATTTGGAATTTCAATAGAACAAATGTGAATTAGCTAGAAATAATTCAGATGTTGAAACTTTTCCCAAAAGTGGCTTGAATAAATCCATGATAGAGAACATCATATGGTCCTGATAAGTACCATAATATCTTTTTGTTGACATCTTGTTTTACATGATAAGTAAAACTGTTTTTGACAGAGTAATATTATAATTTATCATCACTCTGTGCCTGTAGGGATCTGTGGTAGAGTAGTGGCTAGACACTCGCCTGCCCGCCCGAAGGACTAGGATTGAAATCTGTACTGGGTCAGACTTATTTTTTCAAAATTAACTTTGGCTCCCAGGTTGACCCAGCCTTAAATAGATTTGAGGAAATGTCTTGGGAAATAAAGGCAGCTGGTGTGATATAGACCACATCTTATTGAGTGCATATATAAAACCATCTATATGACCAGTGCACCACTGATATGAAAAAGGGTGTGTAATTTTTTTCTCTACCAGAGCCTATTTGATTAAACTGTATTTGGTGGATCTGAGGTGGCATATTTGGTAGCCCGCTGACTCACCATTAGAGTGGTCCAGGTTTAATCCTGGATGAAGTTTGTTTTCATTTTCAGTCTCACTTGGCTCGAAGGTCACCTGGTTTTCTGCACTGGGCACCAGGAATTTTTGGAGAGGAAAACTGGCGCAGAAGGCAGCTGGTCAGACCAACTTATTATGCTGTAATATTGTGTCTATATGAATTCATTATTTGCCATGGTATAATGATTGCCTATGTTTTCTTTGTGAATAAGATTACAAGGAGCCTGGAGAACAAGCTCCGTTTGGTATTGAAATGGACATGATGAAAGTACTTTCCAAAGAAGACAGACTAAAGGTAATTTTTTTTTTCTGTTAACACTGAAATTCTTTCCTTGAATGGACCAAAAATACACAGTCATAGTTAGATACTTAAAAAGAATCAGCAATAAATTGTAATAAATAGTTAAACAAGTTGTTGTTACTATTTATGGTCGCCAGGGAAGAACATTGTCTGGATCTTTTGTCTGAGTATGCCGGTGTGTTGGGAAATGAACAGATGGACAGATCGGCTTGCTCTGCACAACGTGTAAAATATTTATTTATGATAAAGCAGACGTGGTTAAGGCTTCATGGGAGCATGTGTATAATTCGGAAGAGCATTTTGATGATCACAACTAGGTGAGAGTGATGCAGCGAGGAGTGACGAGGGGATGTGGCTGATACTCAACACTTAGAGGAAAGGTAAGATGGACATATAGTCTGACTGCTACTGGCACCATTGGTATTGGAACTCTGCACTGTCTGCTGGAGATGGGGACGGAGCGCTTATGGGAATGTCAAGAGTGCTGTGATGTTGGTTCTAGAATCAGCTCACCTCAACTTGTTTCTATTTATATGTAATGTAGATATAAAGATTTGATTAACCATTTCTGTCTTTAAAAATTAGGAAAGTTTTGTCTTTAAATGTGATGTAATTTCGTTCATATCATTAGAGTTTATAATAATTAAGAGAAAGATTTGCAAGAAACATGAGTTTTGGCATACATAAGCAGTACCAGGCCATCTTGTATAAAACCTTTCTAGTGCTACAGTATAAATATGTTTTTCTTGGCATGGCAGTGTCACACACAAGTACAAACTGTTTTAATCTGAAACCCAAATTTGAAGGATAGTTAGTGAGTCTTAAATTTAGTCTAGCACATAAATGGTTGAAGTTATAATTTGTAGTTGATGTAAATCGGCTGTTTTACTTCTTATTCTTAGTGCTCACTGACTGTAAACTCCGCGGAAAGTCCTGGTTGTTTTTCCACTTCTGAAATTTGGTCTTGTTCCTGGATACAATTCTAGGATTTTGGTGCAAATTAGTTTGACATTTCTGACTTGCATCCCGGCAGCTATACAGTTAGTTTGTTAACCAACAGATTATCCTCAAAAAAGTACAAAAACAGAGCATGTTGAGAAATGTGAAAACAGGCATGCTTTGTGTAGGGTGGCAAGCATCACTTCAGAGGCCCCGGGTAGTTAGCATCCTTTGGATATTTTCTCCAGGTGATGCCGGTGTGTTGGGAAATGAGCAGTCACATAAACTGGCTGGCTCTGCACCACTTGGTGGTGAATTGATGTATGACAAGTTAGATATTTTGAGGGCCCTTTGAACTGTGCAGAGGCGCAGATAGTTCATTACGGTCAAAGGAGAATGGCGTTGCGAGGAGTTACCTGGGGATCTGGCCGACGCTCAACACTCAGGGGAAGGATGAGACAATATACAATCAAACGGTTACTGGTACAGTCAGAGCTGGAACTCCTTACTTGCTGCTGAAAATATGGACAGAGCACTTATGAGAGTGTCCCGAGTGCTGTGATGATGAGTTTTAATTCAACTTTCAGATTATCCTCATTGCACATCGAATAAGTCCATATGCACTCGGATCCCATTTTCTGAATATCCCTCTGGATGTAGCGACTGATCACACCAGTTCTGTATTAGTTTACTATTCTTCTTTGGCTACCTGTATAGTATTCATATTTGGCGACACCTCTTTCAACCTGAAGTTCTTGTAGACTTTTTTGTGTTGCTGATTCAATGTCATCTCGTGGGCGGTGATTTCGGTCACAGGCATGAGGGAAAGTTAAGTCTGATGAGATGTGTATAAGGAGATATTCCGTACCTCACTCAGGCGCCAGTCCTTCACTGTTCTGGTTTTACGGAACCTCCTGCAAGACTCCTGCTGTGCGTCCCCGTCGTGCGCCACGGATAATGTCTTAAATTACCATTAACAGAGTTGGCAGGGGATCTCGGAGCTGGCAGCCCCTAGAGGTGTAGTGTCCTTTCTGGCTCTCATCAGCCCGCCCCCAAATGCATGGGTGAAAAGTCTATCAAAACTCTTTCGGAACTTGAGTAAAGATTGCTTTCCAAACGTACCACCAAATGACAACTCTTGGTCAAAAGTCTGGAGGGAATGGAAAACTGCTGCTGAGATTCAACCCTTGACCGAGAGATTTACCTGCAGCCAAGACAAGTAACATCTCTTGTGGGCGATTTCTCGCAGCAAGATCCTACCTACGTACATCCTCTGTCAATCCTCAGCATCGTCATCACCGCGCTGAGGTACACCACGACAGCAACTTTTCATCTGCTGGCTAGGGAATAATGTCCGACAAAGTTAAATCCTACATTACACAAGCAAGCTCAAAGTCCGACTACCATAATTTGTACTGATTAGGAAAAAGTCCAAATGTCCGATCCACTGGTCCCACTTGCGCGAGTGTTGGGACCGAACAGGTGAAGCTACGCCTGACGCATGCATCCCCATTCTGTCGTGCTAAGAGCACAGTTGAAACCACGTTAAAGGTGTCTAACATACAATGAAGAAGAATGTACCTATTTGTGTGGCCACAAAAGTCCTTGACCTGCGGGCTGCTCCCCGGAGAGGACCGCCTTGTAGCGAGGGAAGCTCAATACACGGTTGTGAGGTTAAGCAGTCATGGGCAGGACGTGACGATTCCTTGGGTGAGCCCAGAACCAGAGAATCATGTGTCGGCTCTGCATTTATGGAAGCCTCCTTGGATGGTGGCGAATGCCCATGATCTGCCCCTGCCTTCCCTTGAGAGCTGACAATTCTACCTAGGGCTGCCTTAAGGGGGGTTCTTCGGGAGCCACACCTGTGAAGGGTCAAAGAGGACACCACACAAATGAGGCAACATCTCGACCCACACAAATCAATGGCCACAGTCAACCTAGAAATAGGCTTGACGTCTTCCCTCGAAGTCGGAGTACATCTGCCGGAGAGGTGGGGAACGAGAACTGCAAACAAATAAGCCAGTAAAATGAATGTACACGCAAAACTCGGGTAAAGGGAAAAGCCAAAAGTCCATTTGGACGAACAACCGGGACTTACAGCCGGATTTCACAGCCGGTGAACAAGAAGAAGAATGTCATCTCCTGAATCATCTTCAGCCATAAAGTATCAACAACTGATAAACTATTTATCAAGTGAAATTTAATCGTAACATGTCTAGGAACAGATTAATGGATTATTAAGCACATAATTCTTCAGCTCATTGTCAGCTTGTAGCATTATCTTTTGTTGTAACCAGTGTAAAGAACAGATGGATGAAATGACAGATGGATATAAAAATGAAGAGTGGTTAGATGGTTGGATCAGTCAGTAAATAGATATTTAAGTAAATTAGTTTTGAGCAGGTAGTTGGATGGACAGACATGTACGGAGAGACGAATGAATAGACAAATGGGTAGACAGGTTTATCTTTAATATGGAAGTGTTGATACTGTTGAGTTGAGTATCCACATCTCAGCACTCATGACATTTCCGTAAGTGCTCTGTCCTCATCTTCAGCAGCCAGTGGAGAGTTCCAAGTCTAATGATACCAGTAGCAGTATGATTATATGTCTGCTTTGCTTTTGCCCTGAGTGTTGAATGTCAGTCAAATCACCTGGTCACTCCGCCTGCACCATTCTTTTCTAACCATGATCTATTTAAAAATTAGTCTCCGACCGAGATGATCAAATGCTGATATATTGTGAACAGTGTTCTTGGTTCCATGTCTATTGTTGCTAAATCTTGAGTACATTGAGTCATTTTGTGGCAGTACCTCTATATGATATCTGTGGGACAAGGTTTCTATCAAAAGTGATACCCAGTTTTCTCAGTTTTCTCAGTTTTCTCTTTTACTGTTTCTGTTTGGGGCATCAGTTGTAACAAACCTATTGTCCAGTGAGCTTCATAAAACAGCCGTATTTTCTGGGTTCATGATGTTGACACTGAAGGTAATACAAATTAATCAGGTAGTTGACACTGTAGGTAGTAACAAATTAATCAGGTAGTTGACACTGTAGGTAGTAACAAATTAATCAGGTAGTTGACACTGTAGGTAGTAACAAATTAATCAGGTAGTTGACACTGTAGGTAGTAACAAATTAATTAGGTAGTCAACACTGTAGATAGTAACAAATTAATCAGGTAAATTAGAAACTAACTTCAAAACTCAATACACCTCATTTACAATATAAAAACACATTTTTAAATTTAATTTCAGGCTGATTTAGAGAAAGATTTAGCGTTAAAACAACAAAGAATAGTTTCACCGAGAACAAGGGCAAGAAGAGAACAAGAGAAGTAAGTATCCACGGTATCACTGTGTCTGACTACACTTGTGTTGCTGCTAGATACACTAAAAGAAGACTGTAGAATATATATCAGTTTTCAACTGCACAAGAAAGGACAGGCTCATGAATTCTAGCATTAGGGAGAGGGCTGAAAGAAGATTGCCTGAATTACATCAAAAGACAATGAATTTATTCTACCAGCTAGTAAGAATGCAGCCAGATCAAAACTATGTGAAATCTTCTACAGAAGAACAACCAGACAGAAAGTGAGATGAAGATCAAGGAAGAGATGGACAAATGGGGTAGCTGAATCTTGCACACACAAAGTTAATCGCTTAAGCCAATAGAGCTACAACCTGGTAATAGTGTGACAACAGAAGAAAGAAGATATCAGTTTTAAAAGATAACATGATACATCAATTTTCTCTGAGATATTTCATTATTTTCATTTTCTTCTGCATATCATTTCTTTATATATAAGTTAACAGAGTTTTTTGTTGCAAGCAGTTGTTGCTGTCTGCCGCATTCTGTTTTGAGACATTCTCAAAGTTGCCCTATTGTTTTGAGACATGTTGGCCTTATCTCTCATCCACATTCTCTAGATCTGGATTCAGGTAACAAGAACATCTTGTTTGACTGTTATTTGTTTAGTATTGATGTTTTTGCCAGTGTTGCCACTTTGTTTTGACAAAAAAAATCCAAAACATCTAAATTTGTGTGGGAAACATCTAAAAAAAACATCCAAATGGAAAGAGTCACAAATTACATAGCTATTGATATGACTTACCCTATAGAATCATTTCCTCATCTTTACTGAAGTCTGCCTTACAAGATCCACAGGATAAACTTAGCTTGGATGATGAAGTCGAAGCTTCAGATCCAAAATGACTCTGGTATGCATAGCTGTTCCAATTTCTTTTAATACCCACTCAGGGAGCTGATAAGTGGAACAGCCTTTTCCTACTCTTATCAGGACGAATTTTATTGTTAAGATAGCATTTAGGAGGTAAAATTTTATCCTGTTTCTTAAGTTAGATTTGATAAATTCACTCCAAATGAAAAACATCTAGAAAGACATCTACCATCTAAACATCAAAAACGCTATCTAAATGCAAGGGAAAACATCAAAATCTGGATGTAAAACATCCAAAGTGGCAACACTGTTTTTGCCCTGAACATCAGTTTTTAAGGTTGTTAATTACCTCCTTCTCTTTAATGAAAATGTCACCTATCTTATTTCTTTTATTAGGCAAAACAGAATTATTGAGCTGGAAGCCAGAATCAAGCAGCACATGTCAATGATGATGGAGAGGAGGAAACAGCCCAAAGGTACACCTCAACATGAGAAGGAAGTGGCCAGAAAAGAACTAGTGATTGTGAGTACATTTCCCTCATGTTGATTACAGTAATAAGAAAAGAAATGCTGACATCCTAAATCTGAACATTAAGAAAGATAGTCTAAGTAAATTTTTCCCACTGTCATCTTGTGTATGTGGGCATGTACGAGCTCTCTTTTATCTCCTAATGGAGCATGTACCCTCAATATGCTCATGTCAAGCTCATTGCTTCCTGTGTGGTAAATACACAAGCAATTGCTGTAATCATCATGATTGTGTGATAGGTCCTCTGCAGTGTGTCACTCTCATCACAGTCTGCCTGAAAGAAATTCAGTCTCTAGTCAGGTCTCCTGCCTCATGTACTTTCCTACCCAATGTGTCACTTATAATTCTGTAAGGTGAAGGTCCCTTTTCCACGCCTTTAGGCATATAGGGCATATAGGGCTAGACCTATATTTTTATAGATCAATCGACACAAGATGGGTGATGTGGTCAGCATCACGCCAGCCGCCTTTACTTCCCGGGACTGCACCCAGTACCCACTCAAGGCTGGGTAGACCTGGGAGTCAAGGTCATTTTTTTTAAAAGTCCGGCTTCGCCAGGGAGCGAACCCACGACTTTCCGATCTGCACATAAGCGTCTAGCACTTATTAATCTGTGCCAATTTTTTTTTTACTGGTTGACCCCTGCCCCTCTTTTCTGGTACCAAGCCTTTTACTATTTTTAAATCCCTTTTGGGATATAATATGGCCCTAATATTTCAGTATCTGAGACAAGATGCTGTTTACTAGTCAGTTTTCCTTGATGTGCAGATTTTTTAGGATGTCAGTGTTTCTTTTATTTTTTGTCCATGGTTTTCTGAGAGCATTTGAAAATGACAGGATTTCCAAATCAACTTATCCTTACATGAACTGGGTAAAACATTTGTTGTTTGGTTTAGTATAAACAAATTTAACTATAATAACTTTGTGATTTATGAAATAACTGAACTGTTTTTTTTATTTTAACCTCATTACTCCATGACATAGTATAAGATGGCTTCAAAAAATAATTCAGGAAATGTTTGACTTTCTTGGATGACTGGTTTTGTCTGAGATGTTTTACATTTGTTTGGCGATTGTGACTGATGAAACAGTATTGCTGACGTAACCTTCTCATTTGTTTTTAAGCCAAATGATAGAAGTTTGTTTTTGTGCACATAACATCGGCAGAGTTGAAAATGTCCTTGACTGAGCAACGCGAACATTTGTGTTTTGATAGAGAAGTTCGTTAGTGCCAATAATTATCAACATGTTGGAAATTATCTAACAGGTGAAACAGTAGTTCACAACAGCCCTAAACATCCTCAATATTTTCTTGACTCCATCTCCAGTCTCCAACTCAAAGGGCAGCAGTTAAAGGATCCTGAGAATGTCAACATGGATGCAGCTGAGAGTTTTCAGAAACTGTGGCTCTAGGAATGTTTCCAACAGTGATAATGTCAAAAGTGTGTAGTTGCCACAATGAATAGATTTTTAAAGAATGCTGGGCTTTTATGCAGGAGACCTAGGTTCAAATCTCCAGTAAGGTTATACAATTTTTTTTGTTGTTGGGGGCAAAGATAAAAATCCTAACCTGCACAGTCTGTGGCAACTGCACTAGCCATGAGGCCTTTTTCCCCAACTGCCTACACGGCTAAAGGGGTAAAATAATGGCAGAAATGGCAGGTTTTTTTTTATGGCAGCGTATTGTAAAATAAATGTCAGGTGAAAATGATTGTATTGTCACTGATTTTTACAGAATAAACAAATTCATGAAATTTTGAAAACTGCCTAGTATATGTAGCCTAAAATTTCACCCCACTATGGAAGTTGCTGCAGTGTTATAACTTTTACCTAAGACTATGTATTTGTGAGTAAAAGGCCGACTGGTTTAATTCCTTTTTTTATTTTTATTTTCCAGGCCGAACAGCTGTACAATGAATTATTTGCAGAGAGGCGGGACATTGAATATCATATCAAGACTGTCTCTGCCAATGTTGCTAGAACAGTTAAGGCAAACAAACCCAAGGCCACATGATCTACATTGTTACTGCAGCATTCAGTGCTTTATTTGTATCGTTTATTTGTGTCCTGTTCACCCTCTTCCCCACTGGAGTGCAGGCCCTTAAGCAGCCGGTCCTGTATGTTGGGATCTGAATACACTTGCCTCACCAACAACTGAACCATCCTATTTATTGTAGGAGTAGAAATCGGCTTGGCAAAGCCAATATCCTAGACCTGCACCAAATGCATAATGCAGCCATCAGAAGTGCCAACACAAACTGTTTGGCTCTTTAACCCTACCAGACTGCTGGCCTGGTGATCGATACTTTGCTTTATTTAGACTATGCGGAGTCATAATTTCACAAAGAATAAGTTCACTGTTGAAGTGACACATTCAACTCGAATAATGAGGAGAATCTTGAAAATTATAAATCTAGAAATAGAGCGGTAGTAAGAGAAAGGGACGTGTCCCTCAAACAGCAACATCTGGTGCTCACTTTCTGAAACAATCTTGATCTTCCTGAGTGGATTGGCACACAAGGGTGGAATATTGGCGCTAGATAAAAGATAAGCCTATTTTCTACAATGTCTCCAAGTTTCATCTTATTCTAGCCACATGTTAGCATGTAACGAATATTTTTGTATATCATGTTGATTTTTTTGCGTTAATGCCCAGGAGCTCAGGTATAGGGGACAGTTAGGTTCAGGTCCTCAGGTCTGGTAGGGTTAAATGCAGTTCATCATCAACAGAAGCAGCAGTTATAACAAATCAGTAGTTGCACATGAAGTTAATGGCATAAAGCACCACCAGTTCTATGACAACAGGTCACTTGTTGTTTTCTTAATCTGCAGTTCACAATACAAACCATTTTGGCCAGTCAAAAAATATTCCAGATAAAATCTGCAGCTCACAGTGTCAGGTCAAACACTCATCCCAGTAGCCGAACAATGGAAATATATACTTTTTCCATATAGATATATAGGAAAATGTAATGGCTAACTATTGTCAGAAGCAAAACTTGCCACGACTAAAAAGTTATCCTGCCTCTTAGCCATATTGCACTGATGGTCGGCTTGGGATAGAAAGTGTTACAGTAGTATCAGTTTGGGATTGAAAGCACTATAATGACTGCTGGTGATAGAATGAGTGTCATATTTTGTGCCTGCTGAATCTCATGTTTTGTGCCTGCTGAATGTCATGTTGAATCCCTGCTGAGTATAATTTTTTTTCCTGCTCAGTGTATGGTTTTTTATTCTGGCTGTCCTGTTATGTTTTGTTCCTGCAGAATGCATTTTGTTTACATAGTGAATTCATGCTTTATACATGAGTGTCATGTTTTACACACGAGTGTCATGTTTTGTACCTAGTGAATGTCATGTTTTGTTCAAGCTATCATGTTTTGTTTCGGGCTGTCATGTTTTGTGCCCACTGAGTATCATGGTTTTTGTTTTGTTTTTTAATTCTCTAAGTGTCACGCTGGCAAAATTTTTATAATCAGGGCCGGTGTGCAGCGCCAGATTGAATCGAAAGTCAGATGAAATAAAATGGTTAATAAAAAAGTCCAGTACATCGGGTACATGAGAGAGACTGCTGGAGAACATACACAGGCAGTGTATGGTAAGAAGTGTGTAATATAAGTCATGCTAATTTCAGATAAGAAAAGAATAATTCTGTTACTCTACCACCAGCAACAAAAGCAGATGAATGGAATGTTATGACTACCTGTATTTGAGTTATTTATGTTTCTGATTATTTTGCCATGCTTGCAAAATTTTGATAATAAAAGTATTTTGGTATACAACTTGGCGCTGTTGCTTAAATAATGGCTATCATTCTTCATTGATCACCGGTTGTAAGTTCCAGTGGTCGGTCGTGGTTGTTCCGTCCCTTTGGCTTTAGTTTGTGCAAGGGCCTGAGCTTTGCGTGTACATCCATTTTGCTGGCTTATTTGTGTGCAGTTTGTTGTTCCTTGCTGCTCGAGAAAGTGCACTCCAGCTTCAAAGGAAACTCCCAGTTAGTCAACTCTTACAACATGCTGGTTGGGGAGGCAGTGGGTCTATTCTTAATTTCCCCACAATAAGGCTCTGGAACCCACACTGGCACTCATCCTTCTATTTCTTTACATTCTACAATGATATTGCTCTATGGCTAATTTGTTGAGCTGAGACAAGGCAGTGGCCATCTGTGCACACTATCAGCACTGAGTGAGAAATTTGTGCATGTTTGGAATGTGTGAAGATAACACTACTCATAACATATGCACCTGTATTAATAGTTAATGTTGCTGTATTCAGTGAGATGACCAAACCATTTCACCTACTGTTTGATTCTCAATGTATTTGGAATATAATGTTCTGACAGTCTGTCTAATCCTGTTAATTCTCTCAGTCTCAGGGCTTTCCTCAGGCATCTCATTATTTCAAATTTATGAAACATTTTTTGATTTTTTTTTGTAGCACATGGTAAAATTTTCCTCTCAATTTTATTGTGAGACACTTTTAGTTTCCTTGTAATTCTTTCATGCTGGCTTTTTCTCTTACCAGTTTCCTTTACTATTGGATTTTAGTTGCAAAACATCTGGTTTTAATGTTGTTTTATAAGATAAATGTTAGTTGCTGTTAAAGATTAATCTGAACTAGATGAGAAAGTTTTTCTGTCAAAGATAAATTTGAACTAGATGAGAAAGTTTTTCTGTCAAAGATAAATTTGAACTAGATGAGAAAGTTTTTTTTGTCATAGGCATATTTAATCTAGATGAGAAAGTTTTTCTGTCATACATAAATTTGAACTAGATGCTAAAGTTTTGCTGTCAAAGATAAATCTGAACTAGATGAGAAAGTTTTGCTGTTGCTAAAAATAAATCTGAACTAGATGAGAGAGTTTTGCTGTTGCTAACAATAAATCTAAACTAGATGAGAAAGTTTTGCTGTTGCTAAAAATAAATCTAAACTAGATGAGAAAGTTTTGCTTTTGTTAAAAATAAATCTGAACTAGATGAGAAAGTTTTGCTGTTGTTGAAAATAAATCTGAACTAGAGAACGTTTTGCTGTCAAAAATAATTCTGAACTACATGAGAAAGTTTTTCCATTGTTAAAGATAAATCTGAACCATACAAGAAAATGTTGCTGTTGTTAAAGATAAATCCTAAACAGAACTGCTGTGGCTGAAGAGAGTTTTGCTATGAAAAAAAACTGTTTAAAAAAAAATATATAAGATACTGGTGTAAGGCTGATATTTTGGACCTTCACAGGTCAATAATCTGGCAATCGCCAGTTACCTTCCACACCAGCTTTTCTTCCCAAAATGTTTGTATGAATGAATCAAGATGTGATATCACTGCATGTGGGATATTCCTATATGTTTTTGTCTCCTCCTTCAGTAGGCAACAGTTCCCATGCTAATAGTGCCAATTTCAATCTGATTAAAAACCCAAAGCCCTCCTGTTTTTCCCTTGATGCTAAAAATCATCAAGAACCTGTCTCCCCCACACTCCCCCTTTTCAATTCCACAAAGCCTTCAGCACATCAGCAATGTAGCTCACCGCCCAGAGAAGCAGCATCAGCCAGTCTATTCGGCTGTTCATTACAGATACAGTCCTTCTCAGACAACCCTTTGAAGTTTTGAACAATAGATCAACATCATGGCACATGGGTGTAACCCAGAAGTGCTCCATTCTTCTAACGCAAGTCTGAGTCCGAAGAAGCTCAGCACACTGCACAGGCTCTGTAGCACCCGCGAGGATCCTGATATACTTTGGGTAGATTTTTAACTTCAAATTTTGCCCAGGTATTGCCGTTAGTCTACTCTATTCGATTTCCAGTTGCCAAGGGATTCTTTACGTGCCCAACAATACACAAGGGCGTCCGATCTCACTACCCAGAGACCAGGGGGAATTACTAGAAGTCCAAGTGAAAAAAAAAACAGCCAATACCGGGGATTGAACCTGGAACCTCTAGCATTTGAGGCAGACACCATGCCTCAAGACCACGCAGCCCCCTCAGACAACCCATTTCATCCAGCCCAGAGCAGTATCAGAACAGAAAACAAAAGACTGCAGCCATGCCGCTCCCAACATGACATCCATTTGGAACATTATCATTCATGATGTCTGAACACGTGTTACAGACATGCTGTCTACATGCAGTGAAGATCCCATGTTTGCCATGTGGAAGATATATATCCCACCACAGACTTCATAGAGGCCTGTGGCTATTTCACTGGCAGGGAGAACACACACACACACAAAAGACTGCACAGAAAGAAAATCAACAAGAAACAAATGAAAAAGCAAATTATGTTTTAATTATCAAAAGGTAATGCATATATAACAAGCATACCCCCATGTTTACTAGCAGAAAACATGAAAGGCCAACATAAACCTCACAAGACATAAGGGAGAGGGGGAGAAACCAACATCGGTGGGATCATCATGTACAAAAAAGTCTCCATCCTGACCAGCAACCAACTACACCAAAACAAAAAAACAAAAAAGTGGCCACATTACTGTAATGTCCAACAGAGCTTCATAAGACAGCAACAGTGTCAAGATCTGTCAATGCTTTCACAAAATCACCCAGTCATCACCAACATTAACACGTGCAATGTTGTCCCGCAATCACCTAATCATAAAAACACCACTTACAGTTAACATGTCCCAAATCATACCATTATTATAACACCATTAGCATTAACAATTTAATGCTATTAAAAATCATCATAAAATCGCTAGCATTAAGTGAACCTCTGTCACAAACCACCATAGCATTAAGTGTACCACTGTCACAAACCATCATAACACTGCTATCATTAACACTGTAATGCTGGCATAAACCATCATAACACTACCAGCATTAACAATGTAACACTGTCATAATCATCTAACAACACTAGTGTTAATGAAATGTCACAAATTACCCAAGCATTATAACACCACTAGCATTACAAATCATCACAACACCACTAGCATGAAGTGTAGCACTGTCACAAATCATCATAACACCACTAGCATGAAGTGTAGCACTGTCACAAATCAT